ATTGAGTAGGCCTATTATTCGTGTGCTGTGTGTGTGAGAGTGTTTGTATGTTTAATTGAGTGTACGCTTGTACTTTGTGTGTGTGTGTGTGTGCTTTGTGTGTGTGCTTTGTGTGTGTGCTTTGTGTGTGTGTGTGTGTGTGTGTGTGTGTGCTTTGTGTGTGTGTGCGTGTGTGTGTGCGTGTGTGTGTGTGTGTGTGACTGCGCGCGCGCGCGTAGAATCCTCTGTACACCAGTATGATACTATAAGTATAAGCACACATACTATTTATGTAATTTGCACTTCACTTCAGTGTATTGTCTCTTTCCCTCCCTTATTTACTTCTCCCTTTTACTTTTACAATGTAGGCCTACTGAGCACAATGCTCCGCATTTGAAAAGACATACGACTTGGCTAATAAAGTAATATTTAATAGCACTTGATAAACGCAAACGGGCCAGAATTCGAGGCCCCAGCAATGACGTTAATTCATTTTGGTGGTGGTGGTGGTGGTGGAAATGTGCCTGTTTTAGTTCGATAGGTGTTAAAGAGTATTTACTGTGCAAAAACATATTATTAATCATAAAATTCATACTACGTGTGCGTAAATAATTTCTTGACTTTCAGTACATGTATTCTCGCAATAAATTTACCTTGAAATGAAAGCATGTGTTTGAGTGAGTACATGTGTTTGTGAGAGAAATATTTTCCAGTTTATTCACTTATTAAAGTTATTATAATATTATTCGAGATACACATGGCATGTAAATATTATTTGTGTTGTAATACATGTAATAATAATAGGTCTATGTATATTTTTAAAAACAAAAGTACGAGAATATAATATACGGTAATATACGTAAATGTTAAGCACACACTAACACACACACACACACACACACACACACATACACACACACACACACACACACACACACACAGGTACACACGCACACACGTATGAGCGTCCAGTCTTGGGTCAGATCAGAGCAATTGCACGCTCGATTACTGTGAAATCGTGATCGTAGCTGTCTGTGCATAATATTAACAATGCAGAGTAAGCTTCTTCATCTTAAGTACTCCCGAGTGGCGTCACTCGCTGCATACATTCGGTTTCATTTTAGGTGCAATGATTTTAGTTTAGTTTAGTAGAGGTATCACGGCGCTCGCAACTGCATAAGGTCATATGATAGCCAAGAGGTGGAAGTCAACAGAGAAGCCCTTACAGGGAATCGGGCTTACTCTGCTCACCTCTCTAGCTCCAACAGCACAAAGTCTACTCCGACTATCAAGGCGCCCCGGAAATAGCGGGTCACAAGAGTGTGACAAACATACAGAAGAAGTAGAGGTAAATGACGATAGTAAGGATTGGGAAAGAAAAAGCAGCAGTTTCCTGTTGCCGTTCAGGCCCAGTTATGAGCATGACATTGATGAATCAGCACATTTACAATAAATTTCCTGCTGCCCCCTCCCCCCCTGGGAATGGCCTAAAAACACTTCAGTCAGTAGCACCGCTCCCCCTCCCTCCCCCCCCCCCCCCCCCCCCCCCCCCCCCGGGGGGGGGGGGTGCAATGTAAGAGAGGAAATAAACTGAGCTCTTAGACTAAAACGAAGGATAAAAGCCACTATAATCTATAATCTAAGGGGGAGACGAGTGAACACGGACTGGTGAGTGCAATTGAATAAAGAGAAGCACATCGACACAATAACGGCCATATATTGTGCAAGGAAGAAGCAAGACATAGAAACAAACGGATAGAAAAAAATAGGACCCTCCAACCATAGGCTGCGGATAGGGCAGAGCTGGTGGTTTTTCTCGTACTCGTCTACACAAATAACGCATATTGTACAATGTATCTCAAATCCGTTTACCGGGCAATTTATGAAGATCGCCAGTCGCACTCTTTTTTATGTGAGTACAGAAAAGGACAAAACCGATTCCATGACATTCCCCAGACTTTATCCAGTACTAAGGTTTGCTTTAAAAAAAAGGTCTTAACCTAAAAGAACTCATAACCTGTTAAAGGTTAGCATATTCACAGGGGCTTAGAGCATTGCTTACGTTCAGCATACAGTCTTGTTGTTTTTTGTTTTTGTAAAGTGTTTTACGGCGCTCGCAACTGCATAGGTCATATGAGCGCGCGGGACACACCTAATATTTTCAGTTGGTAGGAAATTTTGAATTTTGCCCGGGTGGCGGCCGAAGCCTACTCTTATCGATTTTAGACCACCAAGGGATCTTGAACGTGCGCAACTTGCACACGGGCCCTCCGAGATTTTTCGCCCTTGTCCGAGAAGGCTAGGTGTAGATCTTTCCTACCAGAAGATCAGGGGTGTGGCAGAAAGACAGCAGTAAGGAGGAGCCAAGGAGTAGCAGTAGAAAGGCTGCAGAAAGAGGCAGGAGCCCAGAGGAGGGGGCAAAGGAGGTGAGGGGGTGGGGGCAGAAAGTGGAAATGAAAGCAGACAACAGAACATTGCTAGAGAGTAGGAAAGGAGGTGAAAGGAGACAATTTTAGAGAAGAAAATTTTTCGGTCACTACCCGGATTCGAACCCGGGACCTTTGAATGAGAGGCCAACGCCTTAACCTCTAGGCCACGAGAGCCCCCTACATACAGTCTGTCAACCTTATATTCATCTTCTCTCACTCATACTCATACACAGAAATAACTATGGTTAGTCTAAAAGGAATAAACAAAAGCCAAACTCATTTTTCTTCTTTGTCATATAATGCAGATTTTACCTACATTTGAACGTTTTATTGAACAAACACTCAAAATTTGAGTACTTTCATCACTTTGAAGGAAAAATTTACCTTTGGTAAATATAAATGAAATCAGCATACATGTGTAGTGTACTAAGATCAGATTGCAATAGCAAACAATCTATAGTAAAACATGAGTAGAATGAGTTACAATATTATCACAGACTGATAACAACACATGTAAAAAAGTTACTTTGGCTTGGCATTAAAGAACTGAACAATAAGATAATGTTTATTCCTTTCTATGCAAAAAAATTGCACATAAAGTATGAAAAGAGAAGTTTCGGTAAATAGATAAATTAAAATAGCCAAAAATATTCAAATCCAAAATTTTGAAATCTGACATCTGTCCAAGACTTCAAACTACCCTGAATTTAAATATTTAGATGCTTAAGTAGAGTATATGACTTCACTGTATGAGAGCCAAACTGGTACAATAATGCTCTTTTACAGTTTTGTTACACTATAAAATAACATTTCAGCCCAGAGTCTGATTTTTAAGAACATCGAAATGCTTCAAGAGTGTACACGACTTCATTGCATGACAATGTAGCTGGGACAACAGTACTCCTTTACAGTACTTTTCAACTTAATATTCCTATGTGCATATATTCAATGTTTTAGAACAAATGAAATAAATAGTTTCTGTCCCTGCTGTAGGGTGCTGCAGGCTGCTGGATGAGCTAATACATGTTACATGAAACATGAAACAGAGGACAGTATTAATTATTATACTGTATAGAAAAATATCAGCTTCTTCATTTACCGACATACTACACAACAAAGAAGACATTTCAATACATTCCATGCGTAAACAAGTTGTGGAAAAATGAACCTTCTTTATTATGTAAAATATCTGCTCCAGTTTGACTAAGTATCAAGTCACATACAGTTAAAAAGCATGTGAGCAGCAGCAGACAATCCATTGTACATAGTCTTGAATTTGCCAGTCACTGGCATTATTAAAGGAAAAACGCTTCTTTCGAAACCCTAATACTTCAAGGATAAAAACACAGCGGCAATGCTGTGATAAAAGCCAACAATTTTAAAATTGAATCTAGTTACCTGAAATGTAGATTTCAACCCAAACCTGATATTTTCCTTACGGCAGCCTACTTAATTTGTCTAGACATCCCTGAAACCAACCATACACACACAATCTCATACATTAAAAAGTTGAATACGGAACCCTCCTGGAACAATGAGCAAATAGTAAACAAATTAAAATATTTTCAAATGAGCAAGATGACACCAGAGAGGGTCTTTTCATCCCCTCTCTCCCCCTTTCAATGTTTTTATCTCGCTCTTCGAAGCTTTGTAGAAGACAAAGATTTTCTACTGAGAATCAACATATTATATCATCTTGTGCCTCGACGGTCGTCTTCGTATGATTCATGAATTCTATATGGTACACGATACATGGATCGAAGCAGAAAAGAATCCTCAACAAAAGCATATTGTCAAAAAGTATTGTAAATTTGTAGTTTGGAATATGAATTGCAGATTTCTTTACCAGCCGTTTTAAGCTTTGCTAGGAGTAATGTTTGTCCACAATCTTCGCAAAACTGGATTTGTCAAATTTACAATACAGAAAGATTTATTTGAAAATATAAGCAAACCAAACCAACTTTAATTAAGCATTAAGGAAAGCTTTTTTTTTTTAACCTCAAACTGCATTACCCTTAGCAATGAGTCTCTTTTATTTCTCAATCTTTTAACACCATACTACACTAGACCAAGGTAGTAAGTTTCAAAGGCAACCATTGCAGTCTAGTTTTGCTTAGATTTAGAATGAACCAAAGACAATCACATACATTTTCCAATCGACCACTATGGGTCATGAACTTGCTCAATCTGCTGATGTTTGAGATTGTTCTATGTAAAAATTGGAGAAAAATACATTTCTGGGCACATGTGTTCAGAAGACCAAAGAAAAATATTGAAAATTTAACATAACTTTCACCAGATACAGTTCAAATATAGGTTCTCAGAAATTTCGAATGTATTATCATATTATCAGTAGCCAACTGAGCTGAGTTTCCATTTAAAGACTGAAAAATACACAACATACACAGTCAAAAACAGAACTACACAGCAAAAAATGTACAATCATCAGGCTGGGTAACACTG